TGTTGCAGTTCTGCTCAGTGAATTTATCTGGGTTTGCTTGAAAACAAAGAAACCATTCAACTCACCCTTTTTCATCTGATCAGTGCTAAACATTCTGGCTTCTGATCTTGCTGACAGCTTTTTCACTGTGGACACTGTTGCAATTATGTCTTGATCTTCCAGGTTGCAGGAGTGTTGTAGAGTAATGGTTCTCACTCAACCTTTGGTACCTTACATACCTCCTGCCGACTGACACAGCAAAAGCAAAACTGGAAGTCCCACTGTGGCACTTTTGGTTTTGCCGCTGCGAGCCAAGTTCCACTTTTTCCTCATGGCCCATGGCCCAGGGCAAAGCAACCTGCACAGGGTCTCCCTCCCTATCCCCCAGCACACTGAAGCTGGGGAGTGAAAGCCCCGGTGCACCAGACACGGCGGGAGGGGTGGCGTTCGGAACTTCCAGCCCGAGCAGGCAAAGACCAAATCGCAGCGCCCGCGTACCCCCATCCTGTGTTTTGCGTACCCCCAGGGGTATGCGTACCATGGGTTGAGAAACACTGTTGTAGAGTTATAGGCATGATTGTCCAAGGAATGAGAGACGTAGGGTTGCTTGGTAATTTCTTTTACTGGATCTGCTATAAACATGGTAGAGATGTTTGTCAAAATTTTGGATGAGAAATTACTGATCTGAGGTGTGGCAAAGAGTTCCCACTTAAGCCTTATTATGATCCTATTCTGTGATTCTGTGTCTGCCTATGTTACGTTGCTGCACAGGGTTATGCATCACAAATCTGTAGGCAAGACTGAAGCACACAAAATGGCACTCTGCTGCTCACAGAAGGTGCCCCTGCAATGCAATAACCTCCCCAATTCATCCACAGAAAACACTAATCCCCTTTTTAATGGCATCTGAAAACAGCCAGGAAGAGGCTGAGCATTAGGCACAACCAATCATACACTAGGCTGTATGAGAGGTGATTGCAAGGGATCCCAGATAAAGAAAAAAGAGTAGGGTAATTATGATAATTTAAAAGAAACTGGGACTGTATTAGTAAGGTGGGGATGAAAAGGGGTTAGAGGAATGTTATGACCAGTTAGATATAGCTTGGATAGGCAGACAGAACTGGGGAAACAAGCATACCTAGCCAGACAGGGATGAGGAGCCAGGAGGGTTTTTCAGCAGATGGGCAGACACTGGGCTAGAGGGTGAGCAAGAGGCTCACTTTGGAATGAGTACAGTGGCTAGAATCCAGACTCCGCTAAGCTGCACAAAACCACCATTGGAACGATGCGCTGACAGCATGCTGAGACACAGCCGCCTCGAGCTAGACATAGAGCTATGGGATAGAAATTGTATTGCCTACACCAACTCCATAACACCACAGTGGGGAAGACTGAGTTTCCCCTTGTCTACTGGTTTAATGCGCGACTTTTCAACTTCTGAGTGGTTGGGAGCCACCACTCTGCAAGGGCTGCATGCCCCCAAGGCTCCATGCATTGTGGGCAGCATGCTGAGCTATGTCTCACTCTTCTACACCCATCCACCACTGCACTCTGCCAGCATCTCCATGCTCTGTACACAGCACCACCGAGGTCCCCCCAGTAATCATAAAAATCATAGAAAATTAGGGTTGGAAGGAACCTCAGGAGGTCATCTAGTCCAACCCCCTGCTCCAAGCTATAGGCACTCCACTCTCCTCCCCACTGTAGCATGCTGGTGCTCCTGCACTGCAGTGAGCAGTGTCCCCCAGGCATCCAGCTGCAGGCTCCCTTGGCCCCACCTCCAGGGACAGGAACAGGCAGCCAAAGCCAAAGGGAGGGGGAGCCCAGAGACTTTGGTGACAGCAGCAGCTGAAGTGGTGAGGAAGTGGCATCCAGACAAGGGAGCCTCAAGTTAAACCTTTGGAAGCCACCAGTTGGACATTGCCATCACATTGTCTGTGAAGAATTGGAACCTGAAACAGACCTGAAGGGCTTTCTTAAAGATCTTCTGGAAGATTTCACATCCATCTTCTCCAGTATCTCAGTCTTCTTTCTAAATATCCTACTACTTGAAAAGGGAAGGTCTTCAACTTGGCATTTGGTTTTCAGTCAATGAGCAAAAGATGTTAATCTAGTTTATCAGAATAGAGTGATGGTAAATTCAACTGTGTTGGCTGG